CTACACACCTTGTAGTCTTTGAACCCTGTGTAGTAGCCTCTATCTTTGACTCAAGCTCTATATCTGTTCTGAATTCGTTTTCTAAATGATTTCTTGATTGATTATTAAAATTCTTCTTTTCTTTCTCAAAACCAAAATTTAGCCAGCTTGTATTTAGTCTATATCATTAGCACAAATACAAGCAATTTGACCATTGGTTCTCCTCCTTCATTTTCCGCACCACCTTGAGAATCAATCCAGTGAGAACACTATTCTCCACTGTCCTCATCTCACATATTTTCCACGAGCTCTGACTGTATTAATTTCAACAGAAGGCAATGTGCACACATTTCCTTGCTAACAAAGGGGCCCATTTTTACATAACAAAGAAATGTGTAAATGTTGCCTTTATTTTGGGACTGGTGATTTGGTAAGGCAGCACTCTAGTGTGTGTCTCAGCACTGCTGAGGTTGTGGTTTCAACTACCACCATACCCATCTTAATTTTGACAGTCTCTTAATTTTTTGCTGCTTGGATCCAACTCACTTGTTCACATCCCACCCATTGAGTATGATTGAAGAAATTATTGAAAAAGTGAATAGGAAGGTTGTGTACTATGGGACTTGAACCCACAACCTCAGAATTTATCAGTGATTCTCTAAACATTGAGCTAAGTAAGCATTGCTCATGTGGTGGTTTGTGGTGTACATTAGTTATGTTCAGCTTGCATGTGATTTTTTGCCTCCAATGCTGTTAGGAAGTATCACATGGATGTGTTAGAAAATGTGTATCAAGCAGTGCCTTGTTGGTCACTTCAACATAGCTTGGTTATTCCATTTGGTGGGATCATATCAAGTTGTAGTTCTGTGTATCTTGAGATTAGTTATGCTCCTTGTTAGCTTACACCAGGACAAATCAATAAGCACCTGATTACAGGTGACATGAGGCTACTGAATTGATTCAATTCAGTAGCCTGACGTCACTTGTCATCTGGTGATCATTGATTGGTCCTGGTGTTATGAGTAGCTACACTACTTTTCAGTGAATATTCTCTTAGCTGGAAAATAAATTTACACGACTGGGTATCTGTGTAACTTCAAATATTCAAAACTGAGACTAAAAAGATTATCCGGGGAAAAATATTCTAAAGAGGAAGAAAGAAATTTTTTTATTGAATAATAAAACAAAAATAAGTGTATCACATTTTGGAAAGAGAAAACATTGGTGGATAACTGAAATTTCTTCTCCAGGATGTTTGGGTAATCTTTGGTGTCACTTCAGAAGCCTGGGATCACTAGTAAGCTGAATCTCCTTCACTCAGTCAATAAACAATCCCTTTCACTGCTCTTTGCTGTTGCAACCCGGAAAGTGATTCTGATTAGTCTGCCTTGAATAATGTATTGATTCACCTGACTCTTTCCAAAACTCCACTCCCTTCCTTCTACGTAGATGGATGATAGGATAAGATAAGATATTAAAAGTCCAATCCCCCCCAAGCTCCCGCACTACCCGCTCCTCCCCTGCTCTTCTGCATCCCACCACCATCAATTCCTACTCCCTGCAACACCACCCTGATTCAGTCATCCCTGCGTCCCCCTCCAACCTCAAGCACACCACTGCCCAAACCCTGAACCCCTCTTGGCTATGCCTCCGGATGCAGTTTTGCCCCTGCAGCACTCTCTGGAGAGACCCTTTTCTGCCCAACCCTTGTACAATACCTGTTAACCTAGATGAACAATTTTTGATTCAGGAGATGAAGAGAAGAAAAGAGCACACTAGGAAGAGAAGAAACTTTCAGCATCAAACACGAGAAAAAGACAAAGAGAAATAAATAAGAAAGATAACACACAGCACTTGAGAAAGAGTGATTGTGGGAAGCAAAACTGGGTTTGAGAGTCAAAAGCAATGTTGAGTTCTTGAGTGTATTGCAAACTCAAATAAAGTTGAGCACAGTCAGTGAAGCGGATCAAAGATGTTCAAGAAGAGCAGTGTTAGCCAAATAATTAATTGAACCTGATGACCGGGTTGAGCCAACTAGTTGAAGGAGGTTAGAGGAGAGAAATGGGATCTAGGGAGACTCAGTCATAAGGGGGTCTTCAGCCCTAACCGGAAGATTCTGCAGGAGGTGCACAGTCCATCTCAGATGTCGGCGTGTCACACAGCCTAAATTGAAAAAAATCAACACTCGAAATAATTATGTTTATTTGATTCTCTCTGGTGCAGCGCTCAAATCATGTGGAAATAAATGACAGGCGCTGAAAATAGTTTATTACTTCCCATATACCACATGATAGAGAAATGGGGTGCACCCCAAAACATGCACCAGGTCCAAGGGTAACCCAGATCTGTCACTGTTAATTATATGGCACATCATCAGAATAAATATATTTTGTTGTACACATGATACACCTCATAGTACACCTGAGACCCTCTGAGAATGTTAACTGTTCCTCAGAAGTCACTCATCTCTTCCATTGAGTGCTTTTGAGGTATCCTTGAGGATATATACACCCTTAGCATTTCTAGCCTCCCCCCTCCCCCAGAGTCAATCAGCCATCCAGAAAAGCGCCAAAAGCACTTGATTAGTATATACAACTCCAAACTGTTTATAAAACCAATGATACCACTAGTAACCTTGCTAAGTGTTCTTGTCACTATATATTCTTGTATACTACCATATACACTGCCATTGTCTACTTGGCATAATTCTGTAGTTATTTTTGCAAGTCTTCAGCACTCTTGTTTCACTTCTCCAGTTGTTACAAGAGGGACACCTCTCATGTAAGTGTTATAACTTACAACCCTCTGAATATTCCGTGAATGTCTCAGTAGGAAGAATCCAATATGCAATCTGGATTTCCTGCCCTGAAATAATAGATGGAGAAGAGATTACAGTATTTACTGAAGCTATTACTTATCGACACTCAGAACCCAACCAGTGCCCAGAATACACTTGGTTACTAGCATAGAGGCTGATGGGCCAGGTCATCCGGCATAAGTTACGGACCGATCTGGATGATCTTAACCATTATAACGTGATGGAAGGGAATAATTAGTAATTGTATGGTAATAATTTGACGAGCTCCCAGCTCGCGATGGATATTCGCTGCATAATTCAAACTGAATTGGATAATGCAAAATGAGATTTTTATGTTTTGGGAGAAAATTCACTTCCCCAACGCATCGCCCGAACGATCCAGGAGGAACATCACTCGTCGAAGTAGAACACTCAACATGACGAAAATTGTGGACCCATTTTTTAAATCAGTAGACCACACAAGCACGAAGCGAAAGCGGCCGAATCGCAAGAAATCGACAATCCAAAAAACGAGTAAATCGAAGAGCAGTAACCATAAGAACGAGAAAGAAAACACGAAGAAGCAAAAGAAGAATGCGCTAGATGAAGAGATTGAAGAAAGTTTAAACGGAGATGCTGGTGATAATGATGATGATGGTCTCTCGGCAGACTTGAATAACGATGACGATCCAGGAGAATCCGAAGACGATCCGGAATTGGAACACGAAACTCCTGCTCAGAAAAGATTGCGACTCGCTCAAGTGTACCTCGATCGTCTTCAGAAAAGTAAAGAAGGTACGTCTTGGATGGCTCACCTCTTTCCTCTTACGTCTATTCCTCCTACCGACCATGATCTCTTGTTATTCCTTCAAATCTTGATCTGAATCCCAGAGGAAGAAGGTACTTTTGACGCGGCCGATATCGACAGGGAGATTATCTCCTCGCGGCTTCAGCAAGATTACGTGAGTCCAGTGAATCAACTCGCATGTACACAAATTAAAGCCAGCTCTGATGGAATACCAAACTGCCAGCTTGAAACCACGGGGAAACTATACACATATCTGGGCGAAAGACTGAGGAATGCATTTGAAAATTCAACTTTCAAACTGACGAGTTGGAAGACGGGGAATCAGCAGCATCGATTACCGGTGACTTGTGCCAAGCTCAATAAGGACGGCTCACACCTATATGTAGCTGATAAGCAGGGCAAGATTGTACAGTACGACTGTAGTCGGATATGGTCCTTCTCATCGCCCACGGAGAGTACACCAGTAACCGCCCACGCCGGAGTCATTCGACCCCTGAGAGTCATGCAAAATCATGTCCCACCTAAATCTTCCGATCTCCAAAAATTTCAAAAGAAGCAAGAGTCCAAAAAAATTAAATCCCTGTCTACCGCAACTCCTAGTACTCAGCAAGGGCATATCGGCGAAATTCTGACGATCGACATCACCGAGGACGAGACCATTTTGGCCAGTGGTGGGAAGGATAAATTGATTGGAGTTTGGGATCTAACTGACAGCCAGTCATCTACCACATGGAAAGCTGGTTTACGAGGACACAAGGATGTAATTTCTGTGGGTCTCTCAAGTTCATTTTTGACGACGAAAAAAAAAAATCAAGTTCGACAGACGAGTAAAATTGAGCAAGGAATCTCCGCCCTAGTCACTTTCGTTCCAAGCCGGGACCCCGACACTATACTCAGCGTCGTATGACCGCATGATCAAAGTATTCAACTTGGCAAGTCTGACGTATTCTGAGACGCTTTTCGGACACCAAGACCGAATCCAGTCGCTCTCTGCGCTGCGGAACGAATATGTCGTGTCTGCTGGAGGGCGAGACCGGACCTGCCGATACTGGAAAATCGTAGACGAGAGCCAACTGGTCTTCAGAGGCGGTGGGAGCAGCAGGATCAGAGACCTGATTGATGGCGTCGGCTTCGATCCCGACGATGAGCCCCTGGATCCCAAACCTAAGAAGGCCCGTGCAACAGCAATGCCAAGCTACGTCGAAGGATCTATTGATAGTGTATGTATGGTGGATGATAAGCTTTTTCTCAGTGGCGGGGACAGCGGGTGAGTTAAGGACGAATTTTTTCATTTTTTTTCCCGCAAGCATTGACGTGTTGCACAACTAACGCTAGTATGCTCGCGATTAGTTCGATTTGTCTATGGACAATCAGCAAGAAGAAACCGCTCTTCACACACGCATTGGCTCATGGGACGGAGAGGTTGACAGTAACGGGCACGAGCGACGAGGTGGTTGAACAGGCACGATGGGTGACTGCGCTGTACAGTGTGCCATACAGCGATGTGTTTCTGTCGGGCTCATGGGACGGACAAGTGAAGATATGGAGGCTATGTAAGGGCGATGGCGGCACATCAGCTGATAATATCAGGAAGTTCGAAGCTGTCGGCCATATCGACGTCCGTCTCCCTTCTCCCGGCTTCATCAACAGCTTACATGCTATCATCCCTCCCATTGCTCCAAATTCTCAGCCTAATCAACTCCTCGTCTCCACCGCCATCGGTCAAGAGCATCGTCTTGGTCGTTGGAAAAAACTTCAAAACGCTAAAAACCTTTGTCTGCTCACTTTAATCAACTTTTGAACCTAAAAACCTTGACTCTTTTTCTTTGTTTTCCTTTTTTGTGGAAGCCGCAAATTGTAATAGCCTCAACCCTTCTCTTATTTTTCTTATTTTTTCTTTTTTTTTTTTAAAAAAAAAACAAGTCCTCCGATGACATTATATTAGAACAATGCAGCTTGACATGCATGTTTGATTCGTGTCGGAGATACATGGGCAGTGTGCGATGTGGGAGGAGGAGAGGGTTTTATGGGGTCAGTGTCAGCTGACTACTAATTAGAGCCAACTAACAAAATAA